AAACTGGATGGAACCACGCGACGGAATGTTGTTAAGTCTAGCTTAAGTACTTGCCGTGCGGTGCCCAATGCTCAATGCGGGCATGTTTTTTGAGCATCGTCCAGCTGCGGATTCTCCCTTTTCAAGGCAAACCGTACATCCTTCGGCACTCCACGATGCGATTCTGCTTTGTGACCAGGGAGATTCGCTCGCTTCCTTGCGCTCTTGATTGGTCGATGAAATCACGCTGGGCAACCCATGCCCGAGCACAAGCCCCGGAAGCTACAACTTATTCCTAACCCAAGGCCCTATGAGAGTCCATCGCCCAACTCCTGCGTATCCGAATGCGAATCTTTTTCTGGAGTCCACGAGGGGGGGTCACCTGAAAATTAAACTGCTTGCCCTGGCCATCAGCAACAAGCAAACCACAAAAAGAGAAGCCGCAAAAACGTCAGCCGCAATCGGATGGGACAAAAAGCTCACGCTGAAAAAAGCCACCCTTTAGAGTGAAACATGCCCCAGCTCCATTTACCTGGAACCACACATGGTAAGGGTCTCTTGACTTCCCAGGTTTGGTTCCATAGCCTCAACACTTGGCTGACGTTGGAAGGGGAGCAACAACTCTCAAATTTCAGCAGTGAAGTGGTTGGATTTCAACCACCAAACCACAATAAGCAAACATAACAATGTTTCCCAACGACAACCATGAACATGGGCGAGTTCGAGGGATGATCAAGTCTGCATACGGGCTACTGGCGGATGGGACCGTGAATCAGCTTCCCTCTCATTGGTGGAGCCGAATCGGTGGTTTGATGGTGTTCCGGGGTGGTTTCCCATTAACCCTCCACACAAACCAGGGCTTCAAATCTCCTAAGGGTTACCTGAGAATTGCTTCGAAGATGTCAATTTCAAAATACGCCCGCATGCCGTGCTTTGTTCCAAACCCAAAGCACCAATCCCAAGCCACCAACCTCGACGGGTCACCCCTGTGACCGTGGTATTCACGTCGGATGGGTCGCACCGCAGGCCGCCTGCAAAGCCATGGCTTCTGCCCGCGTGCCCTTGCAGCGAGTGGCCGCCTCGCGCCTGGCGAGAAGCCGAGAAGCCGAGATATCGCGATCGCGTGAAGGGAACCAAACCGCCCGAAAAAGAAAAAAAAGGAAAAAAGACTCAGCTTCCCTCGGAAAATTGCGGTTTGGAATTTGGAGTCTGGTGGTTGGGTACCTTCCCCATTTGGTTTCAAAAGGAACTAAGCCCGGACAAATCTCGAATTGGCTGAGAGTGCGGGGCACCTGCCAAACTTTAACTAGCAGTGTTTGCCAAACTTAAACTAGCAGTGTTTGCAACACAAAGGGCTAAGCGCCAATGAGGATTCCTAAGACTGGGAGTGCTGAGCACCTGTCGAATCTATTTTCAACTAACCCCGGAACTGGTGATTTGAAGCGGTTAGGGGCTACCTAAACCCATTTGGTAAACCAAAAGGAACCGGGGAATTCAACTCCCAAACCACCAATCCAAACCACCAACTAACAACAACTGAGAGACCCCCACCAAAAAACACACACACACAAAACACATGGAACACGAAAGAGGGTCCCAGCGGGGTCCCTTTCAGATAGTGTCTGGTGAGTAGACCTTCTTGATGTGGCTTGCAAGTGCCGCTTTGGCAGCTCAGACGGCGGGACTTGAAGAATTGTGGGGCCGTCCACATGACTTTTGGAATGATTTTGTGCGCCAAGATCTAGAGAACTGAGGCGGGCCTGCAAAAAACTACGCCCAGCTCATGGGGAAGCTTTCATATGGTTTGGCAGGAGAGCGGCGGGTCCTGGTGTGTCAAAACAAGGGGCACATTCAAATACTAGCTAGTTGTCGGGTCTCAAAACTAGGCTCATTTGCTGACACGAAGCCAAGCGAGGACCCAAACGTCGCAATGGTTGCCTCCATGCTGGTTTCCGGTACTCATTGCCCACTTCAAATCAAATCTCAGTGCTGACGCTGTTGGAAGTGCCATTGCCCACATGGCCACCTTCCTGCAAATACCAATCCGGACAAACTTGGGAACTGCTGCGCCATAACTCGAGGACTGCTACCAAACGCAGCCCAAGTAAGTGCTTAATTAGCTGATCCCAGGCAAGCCGCTATAATTTGTAGGTAACCAGCCACTTTCCTTATAACAGTTTTCAGGGGTGGTTGCCTGTAGCTACGACACAGGGAACTGGAATCACTGGGCTTAGGCAATGGTACTACGCAACTTGGCAATTGGCGCTCCACTGCCTCTCCGCGCTTACCACAATGGAATACCTACAGAAATTTCATGTCCTTTAGCAGGTGACAAAGGGAACCACCCTTTAGGAAGAACAATGGTATAGTGAACAAAAACAAACGTGTCGGGCCGGCCCTCGCATCAATGCAGTGCGGCCCTTGTTGAGCGCCAGCAAGCAGTCTGAGACCTGAAGTGCGAGCCAGGTCTGCACAGCGTTCTCATCGAGTGGTTGCTTACTTGAGCCCGCTCTTCATTCCGCAACCTGCAACTGGCCAACCAGGACTTACGGTGTGAGCATTGCCCAAAGCAAACAAATTCCTCAGCATGTTGCCCGAAGCGACAGGTTGGAAACCTTGCGCCCCCCGAACAAGTCTGTCATGGAATGACCTCCTTAGGGCTCTTGCTTCCAAAACAAGCCATCGCAATGTTTCTTCAATTGCCCCAATTAACTTGGATGTGCATTGCAAGGCATGGAAAAGCAACGGGCAAACACTGTGTCACAGCCCCCCTTTCAAGAACCAAGCACAAGCCAATGGGGGCACGTCTTCCCGTGGGTGACCTTCAGTGCAAGGCTTGCCCAGTGTCAGTCGTGCTTGGATGCTAAACCCGACACGGCCACAGCTTTTGGGTCAATCCCCGCATGTGAAGGAAACGCCGCAAAGCAAGGATCCTCTATTGCTTTGTAAGCAATTTAGCTCCCTTTGGGGGGGGGGGGGGGGGGGGCAAACTTCCAGCATGGCCATGAATCCGAAAATCCCCCGCCGCAGTCCGCAGTCATCGCCCTTGCCTTGATCAGAGCTGCAACTTCTTCTTCCTGCAGTTGGCTCTCATCGCATCATGAAGCCAAGCCCATCATTCACATGATTGTGCATGAAGACATTGTCTCAAAACCAGCGACCAAACAAAGCAAACAACAAACCACAGAACTCAAACAATATGCAAGGGTCCCTCGTCACACCGTCCCAACACTTCCACTGGCCCCAGCTGAGGTTCACTCAACTTGAAATGGGTGTTGCCCGCATCGCCAGGAAAACAAAGGACAAAAAAAGAAAAAACACAAAAACAACAAACACAAAAACAAACAACTCGCTATAGGGGTGTCTTTTTTGGGAGTCGGCACCCTTTTTAATGCTTTTTGGGAAACAACAAGGAACACCATGTTTTTTCTGAGCCTTAAAGAGACACACCCATAGAAAACATGAGGTCCACCCAAGCAAGAGCACGTGTCAAAGCTGCGCTCGTCGTACGCTTGCGCGCTGCGTGTGACACATGAAAAGAGATCCCTTGAACAAAAACACAAAAGGGACACATACTGTGGTGCGAACTCCTCTTGGGCACTTAAACAACTCTGCAATGAGATCTCATTCCCCGGTAAATTTCAACAAACATGATTGTTACAACCATGGTTTCTCAGGAGGCTTGAACGGATTTCGTTCATCAGTAGGGAACCCTGAAGCCCTTGCAAACCGAGACGGGTCCAGGTTGATTTGGTGTTGATGCTTGCTGTGAGGAGCCTTCCATGAGGAGGGCCAAGGGCATAGCGCCTTATGGATAACGTGAAAATTTGCACGGGGGGGATGTTCTTCAGTGGGGAAAGGGGGGCAACCTCTGGAATTGCATCAGTGGCTCCACTTTCCCTTTCAGGGACTAACATGAACATTTGCATGGGGGCGATTTTTCCTTAGTGGGGAAATGAGGGCAAGCTCTGGAATTTCAGTGGCGCCATCTTCCCTTTGCAAGGGGCTAGGGCCGGCCCACTCCGCCAAGAGTAGCGGCCCGCGCCTTTGAACAGCCCAAGATCTTGAGCAGGGTGAGCCCCTGCTCTGCCGTCCCAAGGGCCTCAAGGATTTGTCCCAGCCCCATGTCCAAGGTCCTTCTTTTTCAGACATCCGGCCAACAAGCGAGGGAGCCAGCTGGTTGATAAAGAACGATGGTTGAGACGAATGGAGAATCTGAGAATCAACCCTAAGAGTGTCCGAGTGTGTAAGCCCTCTTTGCAAACAGCCCTTCTTCCCTGCGGGCTCAAAAAAAAGCCCTGGCATTGAGAACGCTCTCACGGGACCACCAAAGAGTGGGCAACCGAGCGCACGGCCACATGTTTATGAGGGATTTAAAAAAAGTCATAAGCCTCGAAGTGTTTAGAACCCCTAATTTGCTAAACTCTGTTGTTCAGTCACCAAAAAAAAAGGAAAAGGGAGCCACTGAACAACTGAGTGAATATGCGATCTAGTGAGCTCCAAAAAAAAAAGGTCACAAACAGAGAATTATTGAGAAGCTTTAACAAATATGCGACCACTGGGCGGACAAGTCAGTGAAAGGCCTGGCTGTCTGGCCCCAAAAATGAGCGGTCTGCAGGTCTGTTTTTGCCGTGGGCCATTTGCGGAACACTGAACCCTCCAAATAGGGAAGCCCAAGTTGCCGCTTCGTTTCGTTCAAAGGTACCCCGCCATGCTTTTTTTTGGTTACTAGCACCAAAACACACAAACATGGGGTTGCAATCACAGGCGATAGCGGAGCTTCGCCTTGAAACAACCTGCAACGCCTGGCGAGCATTTTCTCCCTCACCCCCTTCGCTCTCATCCGCAAGCAATTTGCCAGCCGATTGCTTTCACAATCCAAGGCCAGAGTCACTTCAAGACAGCGTGCCGCATTTTGCAGCACAATTTCTCAAGTTTCTCCTGCTCACGGCCCGGTCTTGGGACCTTTGAACAGAAGCCGGGCTTCGTTCTGATTCCCGATTGGCCCGGGTTCGCTCCGCTCAGGCAGCAAACTCGCCACCCTCTGGCCTCAGTTGGCATGTTGCTCTTCTTTCGCCTTCAGTCTTGCCAATGCCTACGGATCCGATCGACTTGATGCGCCAGAAAACATCTACACACTTTTGGCTTGCTAGCTAAACTTGTCCTTCTAAAAAGTGACTGAAGTTCACTAACTCACGAAGTGAGAATAAGCAAGGGATGCTCACAACCTCATTCCTCAGTGAGCCTGAGCATGTCTGAGCGCCGTCACTTAAATGTGCGGTCCAGCCTTCGTTTTTTCGTTTGGGGCGGATATCGATTCGCTCTCTTTGGGCCAGGGGCCTATCGTTTTACAGCATCTCGCGGATTGCTTGCTTGGATGCGAAAGTTGAGCAACACTCATTGCATTGGGCTAGCGGCACTGGAAGAACTCGAGCTAGAACAATGTATAGGCCAGATACGTTGCCACCACATTGCCACTACGGCCCCGAACATTTCTGGGAGTCTTCCAACCAGCAGGTTTTGGTTTGGTTCGAACGAGGACCCCTAAGACCCACAAACCCCTCCTCCTTTGCGCCGCGCCTACGTAGAAATGCCATGGCGGAATCTCCCGCGGCAGCCGACATCACAATGACTCCCTGATATTATTTGTTTTGAACAACTACGCCTTGCTTGTTGATGGTTGTGGAAAATAGCAAGGGCCCCCCCTTTGGTGTCACAGAATGGCATCCATGGTTTGTATCATGCTATTTTTTCATGCGTTTCCCTCAGCTGGAAAGCCTGCCAAAAAACAATCACTATCCACTCACTCTGTGGCGTCCAAAAAAGGCAGGAACATAGCGTTATGATTTACTGCCCAAAAGTATGAAACCCACTAAACCTTGATTTGTAGAGGAGTTTCTTTGCGGATGGCACCTCAGATTCTGAGTTGCAGGTGAACTGTCGGAGTTGCGCAATACTTCCTGGCAAATTCGTGGAATCCACCAACCTAAAGCATCCTGCATGGGTGACGTCGCAACTCCCCCCCCCCCCCGCGAAACGCGAAACGCGATGTGACGTCCCGCACCTCCGGCGCCTCTCCTGCTCAGAGCCTGCGCCATGAACCCGGGCCCCAAACGGGCTGGCTACCTCCCAGTTTAGGCTTAGGGGGGGGCTTGTTGGTACCCCCAAGGAGGCACTTAGACCCCTTTTTACCCCCCAAAAGCCATCCTCACGAAATACTTGACAATTCTGGGGGGGGTTGGAGCGGTGTTTGGGGTGGGGGTTCCCTCTTCTGCCCTCCCCACCATTCCAAACCACGTGGGACCTGATCCAAGGCTGGAGAGCCATGGGTCAAAACACATCCGAAGGTAGACCCGGGCTTGCATCATGCTTCGACCATGCGCGGCCGGCCTTGAATCCAGTCACGGGGTTCGTCAATGGCTTCCTCCTGATGCTTGTTGTGACCCATGCCAAAGGTTATCTTCTGGCACCGGCTCGGCTCCAATTCCATCCCATCCCGCGGTGAGCACAGTCCGGATTGAAAAACTCCAGAACGTTCAAATATGCAAATTACCACTAAGCCCTAGAAGGTTAACAAAGTTAAGGGGATTGCAGGGAACCACCAAGGAAAGCAGTCTTCCAAGACCCTCTTCTCAGCTTCCATGATTTGTTCGAGGAAAGCTGCTGCCGGTGACCAAGTGCAGCTTAAGAGGGACAAGTCTCGCTTTTCCAACGCCTTGACGGCCGAGCCATGTCCTCAAGTCTGTGAGTTGCCCACTGACCCGGGTACAAAAGGAACGCCTTTTGGGGACTGAGCATTTTGTGAGGGAACCCACCAAAAACGGAACAAGCCGCGGGCACAAACCAGCTCCATTCCTGGGCAATAAGGCAATGACTTCTCAAAAGGGAAAGAACTGATGAACATTCAACTCCAAACCCCTAAAATACAACAAATCCACCTTCATGTCAGTAAAGCACCCGGAAAAGAGATGGTACCCAAAGCTGACCCAGTAAACTGGGGGAAGAAAACAAGTGACACAACATATGCAACACACCATGAAGAAAAACACCGAAAACTACATAGAAGACAAGGGACATGACAAAACACGAAGAAACTAAATGGATTGGACAAGGACATGACAAAACAAGACAAGGACGTGACAAGGACATGACAAGACAAGGAACATAAACAAACTACATAGAAGACAAGGACATGACAAAACACGAAGAATTGGATTGAAACTAAATGGATTGGACGATTGATTCCAGGCCTGGGGCACCCTCCAGGCGTGCCAGCACCTTGCCGGCCTCGGGGTCTTCCTCCGAAGGCTGCGCTCGCTGATCGGGGGGGTGTTCCCCAAGGCTCCGGCTGGGCAACCCTCAATGATTAAAACTTGCGACCCTTCACCACACACTTCATCCACATCATTCAACACTTTTCTGAAATTCTTGGGAGTCCTAAGGAACCCTGAAGAACTCTGAGGAACTCTACCCCCCTTAGGGATTCCATGAGTTGAGGGTACCCCCTTGTTCGGGTTGGTTTGAAGGGCAGCTGTGGAAGTCGAAAACGGGGAAATGGGACTAAAACGGTTTCCCAAAAAGTTTCATTTCCAGGAACTCAGGGAGTGAGGAAACGGCTCAAAAGACACCGGAGCTCAACACTCTTTTGGAGGTCCAACAAAAATTAAGAACCTACCTGCCTGAGTGGATTGGCCCAAAAAAGCCTGAAAATTGGATTTACAGCTAGAATGGTCCAAACCCAAAAAGCGACTAAAGTCCGAAATGGAACTCACAAAAGTTGATCAATTTCCTGGCGGATTCCAACAAAATTGCAACTTTGTGAAGGTCCAACAAGGAGGTCAACACATCTGGTGGGTTCCAACTAAAGTCGCACAGGTCCAACAAATATTCAGGAACCTACCTTCCTCAAAAAAACATTCCCAGAAAGTCAGGGAGTGAGGAAACGGCTTGGGACCCCTGCCGTAGCCCCGTTTTCGGTGTTCGGTTTTCGCGGGCCGCGTCCTGCTGCCACCTGGCCAGCTGCTCATAGACCACCGCCAAGGCTTTCCGAAGCTCCGTGCCTTCACGCAGCGCCTGGTGCCGCTTTGTCTCAGATGGCCCTGCTGTATGTTAAGGGGATATATATATATATATGTTCTTTAAAGGAACCCCCCCCCCCAAAAAAAAAAGGAGGAACGAACATAATATATCTATATATGAATCCGTTTTGTTGAGGGACCCCCCCAAAGAAAAGTTGTTTTTCTTAGGGGTCCAAATATATATATATATATATATATATACATATATAACTTAAACCAAAAAAAAGTGTGCCCTCGAAAAAGGATGGACCATAGTATTAGTAGCATTTTTCTGGGGACATTTTGAGGTACCTTTTGGACTTTTGGCAGCCAAGACCTCAAGCCTGAACCATACCTTTAACAGTTTTGGCAGCGCCCCACACTCGAACACTACATGACTAGAGCGCGGCCCAGCTAAAAAATGTATTGTAATTTCCCATCCATATCCCATCCAGAAGGGGGGTCCTCTATTTCGTTTAGAGGGGTTCTCAAGCTTCATTTGGTCATTCAATCTTGAGGATGTCACTTCAATGAAGCCACAACAAGCGTGCTTTTGGCGGTTTTCACGCTTTTGAATGCAGTCGATGTCCTGGATGTTGCCAATACCTGGTGCGTGGCTGGTAGATTTCTGACTTACCCTCTGCACGACTCCCAGGCGCATGGGATAGACTTTGGATGCATTCTGCATTTTACTTCTGACCCGCTTTGTGACTCGCAGTGTGAAGCAAACAATCAAAAACAACCAAAAAAACAACACCTAGCCCGGAGGAAGCGGTCCCCCATTTTTTTGAGAACCATACCACCTAACCCGGAGGAAGCGGTCCCAAAAAAAATGAGAACCCCTCCAGATGATGCCTATATTAAAGCTGCCTCTAGCGTTCGGAGCTGAAGCCAGCGTGCGAGGGCCTAGTGCCTCACAAACGCCCGGGCTTGGTGAGAGGTGTTGGTGGCTCGCAGCGGCACCCACCGTTTTTTTTTTTTTTTTTTTTTTTTTTTTAATAAATAAACAAACAAACACATATATATATATATATATATATTCTACAAATATATGTGTATGTATATATATATATGTAAAAGTCGAGTCGTGGTTGGCGTTAAGTTGCTACGGGCATAAAGTTAGGTCCTTTAGTAGAAGGGTTAGCATAAGGGTGCGGGTTTTTTGTTTTGTTTTCTGTCTATTTTAGTAGGAGAACCCTCCCTTGCCCAAACATGGGGTGAGAGGTCGGGCACTGGGGGACCTAGTCTCCTTCAAAGGTTGCAATGTACTGGTGGTTTTTCATGAACCTGCCACCAATCCAAACCAGTAACTGAGCCAAACACGGTCCATCTCAGGCTCCACCCAACACCAACGCACATCTCACTTCAAGAAACGGCTTGACCCACTTTCATACGAAGCGAAAAGGGGATGGGCAACTCTCCATCGGGTACTAGGTCCTCCAGTAGAGAGGTTGGAATAAGGGTACCCACCTTTTTTCTGTTGTCTATTTGAGTAGGGGGAACCCTCCCTTGCCCAAAAAAGGGTAAAGAGAAAGGGCACCTAGCTGGGGGACCTAGGGTAGCGAGCCTAACCATGCTACGGCCGTGGCCGTTTTCGGAAGTCTCTGCCGAAGCAACTGGGGGCCCCCAGCCTGCGCAGCCTCCTCCGCGTCCTGATGTCACCAGCTGATCCCTCTGACCCGTCGAGTCGCTTCACTGGTTTCTGTTTGGTCGACTTGCGGGGATTTCGGGCTTGGTTGACGTTGGAAGGGGAGCAACAATTTAAACTTTAGCAGTTCAGTGGTTGGACTCCCACCACCAAATCACAATAAGCAAAAATGTAACATGTGTTTTTCCAACAACAACCGTGCGGGGGCGAGATAGGATCCCCCGATGTTCGGGCAACCTCTGGGAGGGGGGTGAGAGAATTAATTTCCGCAGGGCCCCGGATTTGTTTTTCTTCTTCGGGGAGAGGGTGATCTGTCCCCTGGGCTACGATTTCCGCCACAAGAAAGCCTACTCCTGAGCCGAAACTCCCCAACCTGATCGAAGCACCTCTGGCGGTTGAACTGGGCAAAGGGTGGCCCAGGACTTCGAGAAGCTGACGCAGCGCGGCAAAGATACCCACTATGGAATGAAAATTATATCGATAGATCGCTATACTCGGTGGCAAAATCTGCTCCCCTGCGAAAAGTGACTAACTTGTAGTGGTTTGATACGGAAAACCCATTAGTTGGCAAAAAGTAAAAGTCCTAACAGCCAAGCAAAATACACCTCTGTATATACATGCAAATATGCAGACATCTCATTCTATGTAGATAGCGAATCACCATATTGATATACACAGATGCGGACATCGCATTCTATATCGATAATGAGTGACAGTTCGGGTGAAGGCGCGCTCCTAAAGTGCCAAACCTGCCATCTGCCATGCATGACACATGGTAGGCAAGCAGTTTCGACAAGCGGCAACAGGGTAACGATATTGGCCCAAATATATGCGATGGCCAGGGGAAGGGGTAGGATTCAGGCAAGGGGGGGGCCGCCTCGGTGTATGTGACTCCACTTGGGTCGATTGCTTGTCTGGATCTGTACAAGTACGTTATACACCTCTCCTCGGGCGTGTCCAAGTGCACGTCGACATTGTGATGCTTAAGGAAGGCCTGGGGTGATCGAGGCTGTTCTCCACGCTCGCAGCAGCAAACCTGAACACCTGCAATTTTCGCCTGGCTGACTGCACGGAGGCTTTCTGGCGACTATCAACAGGAAGCTGCGTGCTATTCGGTGCACATGCTGCAGACTTGCGGCCGTACTGCATCAGCTGGTACGACGCCGCCCCCTCCCCGAACATGTGCATTCCTACAGCCTAAAGCCTACAGCCGTCGCACATTTTATGCAAGTGGGTGCAAAGACAAGGTATCATAATCCACGTGCTACCAAGCCTGATTGGTACTAACCGTCAAAAAGCCTGCATGTGAAGGAACAACCTTTCAGATAGGTTTGGAAGGCCTATGTATTTTTTTCAACGAACGGTGGGGTTGGTCGCTCGCAAGGCCTTGGATCCGAGCAATAAATTGGTTCCTGCCAACGGCGAACGGGGAAATACCAGAACTATCCAAAACAACCATGCCTACCTTCTGTGTTTCGAGCGAAGTATCTCTCTCCCCACCCCTCTGTTCCCACTTGAACATTGATTTGCTCAGTGAGTCATTCCGGTGATTACATACCGTATAGTAGGTAACGAAGCCTTACCTTGTAACGCCATCGCCTGCTATAGTAACCAAAAACAATCATGTAACACGTAAAAAACAATGCGCACTTGCAGGGATCCACTGTGCAGGCCAACTTGCCCCAGCCGGAAATCACAAGGCCTTTTCTGGTTACACAGGAGTCACCATTTGCTCAATGGAAACCATGAAAATTGCAGTTAAACTAATACCTCACTTTACCCAGATCCCAGTTTCCATAGTAGATAAGCAGTCTGAACCTTCTAGTTTTCAAAGGGTCCCCTTTTTTCCAGCGACTTGGAATTACGGGAGTGTACACGGGTCCCTGGATTTCCCCAAATCCAAAATGTGGGATCAAGTTGCTGGTGGTTTCCATTGAAACTGGCAGGGAAACGGAATCAAGCATAGGTGTCCTTTTAGGGGAAATAGATGGGTTTCCCTGGTAGATGAATAAAGCACCAGGTAAACCAGGAATCGCCAGCTATATTCTTTTTACCAAAACAACCAAAAAGGAGACCTATGGAAACAAAACGGCCGTAGTTTAGGGTTTAGGGTTCGCTTCCGAGCGTCGGCCGTGGGCTCGCTGCTGCTGTTGGACACGCCTCAGGGCACAGGAACCCCAAGCTGAACCCAACCAAACACGGCGAGACACGGGAACTCCCTCAGTCGACAACACCTGTCAGCTGAAGAAACCCATTTTGGTTTCGCTGGGGCAACCTCAACTTCTACAGCGGCTTGGCCGCAGCCTGTCACCCACAAATGCTGACGCCTGAGAACCCGAAACATTGTCTGCAAATCTGACGAAAATTCCGAAAGCTGATTTAAGGGTTCCCCAAGTATCATGGCGAGCTCGTTATGCCCCCAAGTGAGCTCGCTATCAAATAGGCGGAACCATGTGCAACGGGTCTGGGTCAGGGGATGTCATGGGTCAAAAAGCTCATGCGAAAGAGAAGGACCAAAGCTAAAATGCTTCGTTGTTTTTTGTTTTAATATTATTATTTATTTCACCAGCAAGCATCCAGGGTACTGACAAAGCGCGACTTGATGGAGCAGGTCTTGGTGCCAAACTACTCTTGCTGAGAGCTTCCCTGCGGGCACTTGCGGTTTGAAGGGAGTCTTATCAGCTTCACTCAGCAATCAAGGTGATTGACAAATGTACATATCACAAATTCCAAGGGAGACAAACAGCTGTTGTCCCTTGGTGGCAAGCTGGAGGGAGCGCAAGCAAACAAACGCGCTAGCTTTAGACATGCCCTTTTGGCCCCCAAACCCGGCCTGTAGGCACAAGAAACCATCTCCAGCATGCACCCATAAGCACCCATAAGCGCAGGCTTGGCCCCTGTGATTGTTCTTGCTAGCGGTTCTGGCTCATCTTGGATCTGGCATGTGTATGGGTGTGTCTTTTCTTTAGGGATTTTTTCGGGGGGTCCTGACGGGTGCATGCAACTTTGATCAAACATGGCTGAAAAGTGGTACAGCCAAACACTTGTCCCACAACCCCATGTCATGGGGTGTTAGAGGTTGTTGCAGCCAGAGCCTGAATTTGCTTGGGGATTTCACACCACTAGCACACTGCATCGCCCAAGTTGGCCGAACAAATCTTCAAGGAATTCGGGTTCACAACCTCACAGCTGCTTCTACTTCAAGTAGGGTGGTGACAACACCTCGTTAAAACATGTTTCAAGACCCCTGTTTTGACAGTCTCCTTTTGGCTTCCCAAGGGAAAGTCCAGGTGTTCAACTTTACAACCTCTGGTTTTGTGCAAAATATGTTTTGTATGTGCGGCCCACTACTAAACATGCACAGGATCACAAAGCCTAAAAACATGCCAACAACACTCGGTTGCTTTCTGCTCTCCTGCCAAAAGTCTAACTTTTAGTGGTTTTTAGTGGTTTAGTTCGGAAAACTTGACCATTCGTTGACAAAACGTTAAGTCCTAACATCCCTTGGCAACACGCACCTTCAGAAAGCCTAGGAACTCAGGGAGTGAGTGGTAGCACAAGGAAGCGGTTTTTGGGGGTTCCTTTGGCTGATTTATAGAGACCCACAAAGCTGACTTGTTGCACCAAAGGACAGTGAAGCTAAACTTCCATTTGGTTAAGACCCCTGAGAAAAAATATTTCTAGTAGTGATCAATTCCTTTTAAATCCAACAAGGGAAAATAGAAATAAATACCAAATATATATATATATATATATGTGTATATATATATATATGTTCAAGCAAATGGAAGCTAAAACCCATTTGCCCCAAGCTGCAGTTGCCCACATTCCCGCCTGTCTCCCGGCACTGTTGCAGCTCACGGCGCAAGGCTTCCTGAGCATGGCGCAACAGGTCTGGACATTCGGGTCCCTCGCCGCGGTATGGAGGTGTCCTGTTTTTACGGGCTCCCCCCCCAAAAAAGAAACTGGCTTCGGTTGTTGTGTTGGTTTCTCTTCAAACACCGCGAAAACAAAGGTACCCTTAGCAAAAATCACAGGCCCATATCTGGTGAACCAGGTATCTGACGTATCCTGAAGTTTACATTATACCCCCCTTGATAGAACAAACATCGTTTGGTACTCACCCCACACAAATCGCTAAGATAGCTTTGTGGGGACCAGCGCCGGGCCATGTTCCCTTCCCACGGTTGCCAGGGCCTTCTGAGAAGGACCACACGCCACCCAAAAGGAACCCTAACCTGGCCCAGGACAACCATAGGATCTCTTAAAACTCGCCCCCAAGGACATGGAAATAAAAGGCGAAGCCTTGGCGGCCTGCACTAGTGGACTAAACACGGAATACTCAAAAGGCCGATTCGATTTGGGCAACTGCGACAAAGAATCCTTGTCATGGTTACCTTAAATCCTTGTCATGGTTACCCAAAAAAATGCCTGGTTACCTTAAATCCTTGTCATGGTTACCAAAAAAAATCATGCCCTTAGTTGGTCGGATTTGCCCAGACCACCCATCCAAACCAATTGGAGGGAAGCTGACTTAAGCATCGCGAAAATCATCTCGCGTGGTTCTCAGCAGGGAATGAGACACGGAATGAACTTTTGAACCCCATAAACCATCCAACCAGTGGTTTCCTTGATTCGGGTCACTCCCTACCTATCGCACCGGCAAGCTCACGAACCACCTGGAAAACTGCATGCGTAATTGAGCTGGGCAGCGCCTTAGCCAACCGAACCTAAAATGGATCCAGTACTCAGGTTTGGTGGTTGGGGGTGGTTTCTCATTTACCCTCTACAAGAACCAGGGGTTGAAATCCACAGTCCCAACCAATCCATACCACCGCAACAAGCGAACATCACACACACACACACACTGCGAACACACACTCCAAAACACTCCAAAACAGACACGCAATACACCCCGGGAATACACAAAGGGCGTGCTTCGTGGATGTCTTGGCTGTGTGTGCCATGCACACCTCCAGGCGGGAGGGTTTGAAACAGACCCTGGGTGTCCCATCCTATCGGCAGGAGGGAGGGGGGGTGCAAACGGAACCGTTTAGCACCAACCCGAGGCTCGTTGTGGTCGGAGAGGTCTTGCAACATGAGCCGCAAGCGGACCTCCTGTCGCGAACAAAACTCATCACAGCAGGCGTTTCCTTTTTAGCAGGGATCTTTACATTATACACCTGAACATTGCCTTGTACATGGAGGTGTCCCTTTGTTTTGGCAGAAAAAGCCATGTTTCAAATGGGCAAAATCTATCTTTTAAGGAGCCCTGTTTAGGTCTTCAAAGTGCTTTTTGATTCGTTCTAGCCACCCGCCAGCTGCCAATCAAAGCCTGGTCTTCGCAATATATCCATGTGCTACTTCGTTGCCTTTATGCACCCGACTTCGAACTTCGTAAAGTCCAAAAAACCGGGCATGAGATACAACTACACTGGTATCTTCTATTTGGTTAAGACCCCCGGAAGAAAAAACGCAAAAAAACACATCCAGTAATGATAAATTCCTTTCAAAACCAACAAGGCAAAATAAAACATAATAACACATATTATTAAGCAAATGGAAGTCATAGATATGCAAGTGATAGCCGAACAAATGCAGCCTCACAAACGTGGTTTTCAACATCAAGTACCGTGTTGCTTGATTTGTCTTTCGACACACAAGGTCGACTTCGCTTCCACACTTAGATACCCTCCTGGTGTGAGAACAGCGCAAACGGTGTCGATGTGCCGCGGTACGTGCACAAAGGGCTTGGACGGTGGACGTGGGATAGGCTCATCGGCATCTCGTTGCATCCCTTTGCTCCCCGACAAAGGTGCAACCACCAAGTATGCTTGGACAGCAATAGAATATAGCAGGTGCGGTTCGGGCGCGAAAACAGCAACAAAGGCTCCAAGAAATCTGCTAGCCGAGGGCGATTTTAATAAAACACATTGCAACATGAAGCCAGAACCTGGTACAATCATATGGGTGTGTCTTTTTTTGGGTACCCCTTTTTGGCTTGATTGAACGGGGACCAACTACCATTTTGGGGGTCTCCTGAAAAAGACACCCATTTGTCATGGCGTTTCAAATCTCACAGCTAATAGAAAAATATAAAAGGCATGCGGATGCCCGCCTCAGATCAAACAAGCCATCAAGCGAACCCTCCATATCACGATTACCGCAAGCGTGTCTCACGCAAGGTGCATGACCCTCTTTCCAGCCAATCATGGAATCCAAAAGTGGGCTGCGGCAAGTCTATCGTGATCTCTCCACGTTACGCGACCTTTGCCCCTTCCCTCTGGAGGTGCTACGGTTGGACACCATCTTAAGACGCCCGAATGCGCCAGAATGCGCCAGATCCATCTAGGCCCATCTGAAAGCAAGGGACCCCCCCCCCGCCAACAACAAAGTAATTACCCTCTTGGGTGAGCTGGTTCAGATCCGTCACTCTAAGCGCCCAGAGAAATTGAGCATGGCTTGCGAATGGGTTACTTTAATGCCGAAAAAAGGGAGGAGAAAAAACACAAACACACACACACACACACACACACACACACACACACACACACACACACACACACACACACACACACACACACACACACACGCGCGGTCTATGATACTAGGGAAAGAATGTGTTCAATGATTTACCCTTTGTACAATAGTCCTGGGCAAGACTTGCGCATGCAAAAAGTTATATAAGACACGTTTGGCTGGTTGGAAAATGAAAGAAACCCCAAAGCAGGCAAATAGTCAAAACTCTCCGGCGGCATGCCTAACAGCAACCCCAGAACTCTTCTGGAAGCCTAGCCCGGCGCTCCGAACCACTCCGGAGCCTATCTGGGCACAAACCCCAAGGCTTCCAGCTGTTTTGGGAAAAAGGTAAGTCAAGTCTTCTCACGGATGGGCCAAAGAGTTCAAACTGTTTATTTGCAACTAAAATGACCCAACATGGTGCAATGGTTTTCCTCTTGGTTTCCTTTTTAAGCCAGAAAATAGGTAATCTCACAAAGCGATACAAAGAGGAAACTGAAGCCAGGTTTGGGCTCCGATTCCTTTACATTTGGGAGAAGCCTTTGAATGGAAGCCGACAAGAGGGTTTTGGAAGACTTTGGAGAAGCCTGTAGGCCTTCCATGATTAGAATCATTGCCAGCCTCACTCCCGAAGACGCACTGTCTTGGGTTCCGTCAAAAAATGCAACCCGCATTTGGGGGGACGGGATCCGACGTGCCCCCCCAGGCTTCCCTTCCCAAAAACCGAAAGCGGGAAGCCTCCTCTGCAGACGCGCTGGAAGCACGCTTCTCTGGAACCGCTCCCTGCGATTTGGCCCTTTTTGAGAAAGCTGGAGAGGCACCAGCATCCACAAACACTAGGTCCTCCAGTAGAGAGGTTAGAATAAGGGTACCAACTTTTTCTCTTTGTCTATTTTAGTAGGGGCTTGCCCTCCCCCCAAAAAGGGTAAAAGGGCACTACTGGGGGACCTAGTGGAACCTCAAGAGGGGTCCTGGAAAACAACTGGAGGTTCTTAAAAAGCGCCCAACGAATTGGAATGGGGTTGTGGCAGGCTTCAAAACCACGTCTACTCGTCAAAGGATTAAGCGAGGATATTTTTTGGCCCCTTATATTATAACTAACCTCACTTTCTGAATGGATGGGCCGAAACGTTTACTACTCAAATGGTCTTCCGGAAGTATTTGACACCAATACCAGGTAGACCACGTAATCCATCTGGCATAAGTATTTGGGATTGCTCTTGAACAAGCCAGCCATGGGAAAAAAAAATGGCGTTGGCTTGCCCCCTTTTTGGCAGGGGGGATGGGCCAGTCGTGAGGTAACCACAAAAATCACGTGGCACAAGTTTGCCCATACCTACGGGGTGAAACAAGTCTTTCTGAGGGTTTTTGTATTCTTACCCCTTAAAACTCCAAGCCCTGGGGAAGTTAATCTTTTACAGACATATAGCCCATGTTACCCAAAAAGTTGAAAAGTTGTGTTTTTAAGAGGTAAGTATTACACCCTGGGATGACACCCTTGACCCAGAATGGATCAAAAAATAACACGGCTTTTATCCGGAAATGTGCTTGAATGGGGTCAATACCCAGTGGGTGTATTCCTAGGGTGTAAAAAAACAAAAAAAACTTAGAGTCTTTGATGCTTGAAGTACCCCTGGCGATGTTCAGAGTGAGTCCCAACCCGGCACCGCCTAGCCTTCCCGCCCCTCGAAAAAAGCGACCTCAAGCACAAGCAAGTGAAACGAGTGCAAAGGGTCCCAAATGCTTAAACCCAGTGAAAACAATACAAATGTCCTTTATTGGTTTACTAGGCCAGCGCGCATGGGTAGTTTGGTAACGATGCGTGGGTTTCAAAGCTGTCAAGGCCATGACGTCTCTAGACATGGCTGCTTTAAAGGGAGCACCTGCAACGGTTGAACTGAACGGAACCCTTGCGCGCAGCTGAGCCGCTTGGGTCTTCCCGTGCAGCACAGGAACCACGGACTCGAGGAAAACCTGGGAGCAGCGGTTATGATACTGCGAGCAACCGAGTTGGGCCTGGAAAATTATTGTAAACAGTTATCATCAATCATCCACCCCCTTCACAGCAACCAGCCCGGCTGGAACAAACTGAATCCTCTGATTGTGGGGAGTCGGTCCATTTGCAGATGTCAACTCGCCTCAGCCCAACATTTGTAGGGAAAGCGAAGGGAGTGGTCCAACACATCTGCGGCCTCTTGAGCAACCGTCGCGTAACCTCAGGGAAGACTTAAGGATTGCCTTTGAACAGCCCAGAATGCTCCAAGACGCATCATCTTTGGAACCTTTGTGACGGATCGTGCCCGCGGAGCCAACTTGTCAGCCAGTCTGGGGAACAGGGCCCCCTCTGCCAACCCAGTGGCATCAGCTGTGGCTGGCCCGTTCCACACGCAGAAGTGAGCCGTGATGAAGCAAAGGAAGCCGAAAATGGCCAGGTCAATTGTTTGTATAATTCTGCCTTTGAATGATTTTGGACCTAAACATATATCACAACATGCGCAGAAGCTCATCGACATGAGTCTGCTCATCAAATTTGGCCCACTTGACACGTGCAGGTTTGCACGCCCAGGGTTGATAGCGACATCTGGTGAAAGATCTCTGAGAACCCGGCCCGGGCCTACCCAAGGCCAACAGCATTTTCTTCAGAACCCCACACATGTCGAATGTGGAGCCGTTTCTGGATGGAATTAGTTTGCGCATGCAAGTACATGAAAACACACTTCGCTTGGTTAAGCGACCTCTGTTTGGTTTCACCACAAAGGCCGAGTATTGTTTGAACTTTTGACCATCCCTCTCCACTTTGAGGGGACCTGTTTCAAGTGTGGAAGGGAAGCCACTAGGCGCCCAGGGGGCTCTATTGTTGAGACCCTCATTTGCCCCGATCCGACCCAAAAAAGAAACAATGGGGGCCACAGATTCTGGAACAAGCAGGCAAACCAACAAAAGTCAAAGCCGGTCGATCCGCTTTGGGACCCCACCCCACCCCACCCCACCCCACCCCACCCCACCCCACCCCACCCCACCCCACCCCACCCCACCCCCGTTCTTCCCGTTCGAGTTGCATCTGAGCCCTCCGTGTCCGCCATCTCCGCCGCGAGGTCGCACTGGCTGGTGCCTTTGAGCCTCGGAAAGAATTCGCTGACTATCAAGTGCCTGGAGTCTCCATGACCCTTGAAAAATGGGGTCATTACCCAAAATAATGGGGTCATTGACCAATTTGTCCAGGGTCATGGAGACTCCAGGTGGATTGGCCACAAAGAGGTAACCAAAGATTTTCTGTCTATACCACTAAAAGAGTCTTCGCAAGTGACTAAAGTCCGAAACCGAACTCAGGCAGTGAGGAGAAAGTGTACTACAATCTGCTAACCTACCTGGATCCCCAGTTGCCTTTATTTTCCAGCTACTTTTGCCAAGCTACTAGTGGGTAAAGTCGCCGGAAAAACAAGTGGCTACTTGGGGATCCAGGTATACGGTATACTTTTCATCGCTACTTGTGGATGGTCAACTTTCAACCCTAAGCCTGGGAATAAATCTTTTTAAAAAAAATAGTGGGCAACGCTGCCTTGTACCAAAAATTGACCCTGGTGTCCCTATGTTTGCTTGAGACAGGGCGGGTCGAAAGCACCTTCAACCCGCTTTAGACATAGAAGTCCTTGTACCGAATACATGTGATCTACTGAAATGCTTTAGACATCAACACGAAACCAACCAGCTTGGAGCCACGGGGCCTTGTCTCCTCTTTGAGAAACACTGGCTGGGAGCTCTCAGACCTCCAGCCAAATGGAAATGGAGGAACCCCTGGTTTGGAGAAACAGATTAGCAAACTCAAGCCGATAGCCTATAAACGCTGATATAAACAGGACACCTACTAGAGTATATAGGCTAGCTTTCAACCGGGAGAAAAACTGGGGGGGTTGTCTCAAAATAGGAATCGGGCCCCGTTTCCCCTTTGGTTTCTCACTGTAATATTCCAAAAGCAAAAGATGCACACCATGCTCGCTTGCTTTCTGCTCCCCTGCGAAAAGTTTGACTTTTAGTGGTTTAATGTTGTTTAATTCGGAAAACCCACTAGCTGGCAAAAAGTTAAAGCCCTAACATCCCTTTGCAAAATGCACCAAACCATGGTACCGTCCTCTTCGGTTATCGTTTTTTTCGGCCGAGCGGCAGCGTTTGCTCGCAGCTTTGCAGCAATGCCAGCAGCTGACCACGTGCTTTAGGCTCATCGGCTCCTGCTGGGAGAAGAAAACTTAACCTTCTCAGACCACGAAAAACTTCCATTTCTTGGCTGGAACTAGCACCCAGCAAAAAAATACTAGTGGAAAACAAAGAGGACGAGCTAATTCTGGGGAAGATTTGCGTAAGCCCCTGGAAAAATAAGAATATGTCCAGTAGTGATAGATTCCCCTTCAAACCACAAGGGAAAACAACACATGTTCTTAAGCAAATGGATGGACATGAACAAAAAGCACCTTCTCAGACCACGAAAAATGGGAACCCGAACAGGGGAAATGCCCGGGGCCCAAGACCTCATAGTGTCTTTGGTGGTCCAAACGGTTCCCAGGTTTTTCTCCGCTTTGGGCTGCGATGGTGGTATCCGTCTGGAGCTTAGGGCCTATGGATCCAATTTCAGCTGACAAAACACCAGGAACTTGGCACCCCCCCCTAAGAGCTTGAAGCAGGTGTTTGACCAAAGGTCGGCATTCTTCTCGGCAGTTTGCCATACTATGAGAAGAATTTGGGGCGCGTCCTTCTGGCAAACTGGAAAACCTCATCATTTAGCACGCTGTTTCTGGTTTCTATCGCGAATTCGGCAGACAACAAAGTGCCTCTTTCCTTCTTCCAAAGGGGGCCAATCTATGTCCGATGGGTGCCGACCCTCTTTTGGTTCTCTCCAGGCTGCTGAAACACCCGGGAGACTCGCCAAAGAAATTGGCCAAAGGAATTGGCCAAAGGAATTGGCCAAGTGATGTATGTATATATATATATATATATATGGCGTCCTAGGCAAGACCTGGTTGAAACTATCTTGGTCCCGAATTGTCTTTGATTGACGCACGCCCATTAGCTTCACGAATTCGGGCTTTCGAATGAGTTGATCCACTGGTGTTCCCTCCAAAAGTGGTCTGAACTTTCGAAAGGGGACACCCCGAAAATCATGCAGGGGTGTAATCCGGGGTCAAGCTTTAGGCTATAACATTTATAATTTATAACCGTGGTTCTACCCTGGGGTGGTTGTACCCTCCTAACCGTGGTTGTTCATCTGGAGTACCCAAAATCCCCGCCAGAAGAAAGTACCAACCCAGCAGCTTACATCGATGCACCCGAAACTGCACTGACCCACCAAACGGTGCACGATTCCGTTCCCACAAATCCATTGCACTCTCTTTCGGTGGATGCCCTGCATGTTGCAGGGGGAACACCGCAACCCTTCAAACTCCCCGCAACTTCCAGTCTTTATGAGTGTTGCGGCACTTGTTGGTTGGCTTCAAAATGTGCTCTTATGCAGCAAGGGGCAACCGCCCAAGCCGAATCGTATCGAAATGCTTAAGCGCTCCCAACAACGCAAAGTCCAGGGGTTATATATATATATATACATGTGCGAAGTGAGAAACTTGCAACACGTGCATCTACGAATGGACGCCCTAAGCATATTGACAAGCAAACCAACCACATCCAACCACAATACCATGTAAAACTACGGACAATGAGGGCTTCCTTTGTTCACTACTTGCATCTAGGGCATCCGTGAAGTACCCTCTCCCCAACCCCCACCGATGGCCGAGCGGGCGAAAAGGCGCGCCTGCCGGTTCGATCGACTTGGTGGCCAGTGACTGAAGAGCGCGCAGTCGGTTCAGCGCCTAAGGATTCCTAAAATTGGAGTCCCTGCCGTCATTGGGGTACAGGACGCCATAGGGGATGCAGGACACAATTCCCCTAAGTTGAGGCCAAAGCTGTTTTCCACAATCTGTTTTACAGGGGACAGGAGACAGGGAACACCTCGCCACACCAACATTTGGAAGCCTCAGGTTTGGGAAATACTCCTTCTGGCTCACCTCGAATCGGACTGCGGCCAACTCAACGCCACCGCCCCTTGACAACTTTCAGCCCGCGCCAATGTGGGCAATCCTGAAAGCAACTGTGCTTGCTTTCCAACAAAAAAACAAAGAAAACAAAAACAAAAACAATCAAACATGTAAGCCAGCAAGCAAGCAAGCAAGCAAGCAAACAAACAAACAAACAGACAGACAGACATACAGACATACAAACACAAAAACACACAAGCACACAAGCAACGAGCCAACCGACCGACCGACCGACCAACCAACCAATCAACCAACCAGCCAGCCAGCCAACCAGCCAACCAAACAAACAAAGGCACATCTAACCAGCCAACCAACCAACCAAACAAACAACCAAACAAATGCAACCAACCAAGCAACCAACCAACAAACGAAACAAGCAGACAAACAAACAGACCAATAGACAAAAAACAAACAAACAAACAAACAAACAAACAAACAAGCAAACAAACAAACGACAACCAACCAAGCCACCAACCAACCAAACGAACAAACAAACACACAGCTCCTATTGAGAGCCAACTGTCAGCCAGTCACACTTTTCCTCACCGCTTTCTGGGCTCGGCACCGGTCTTCGTCCTTCTCCAAAGGGTTCCCTTCCGCCAAAAAGAAGATGAATGTCTCTAAGGCATTGGGATTGCAACCCAGGGGGCATCAACCCCTCGTTCAACCCCCGTTGATCCCCCTTGCAAAAAGGCGCAACCCGAGTGCTGGTGCCCGGGGTTGGGCGCTTGAGGAAGCTTTCGGCTGCACCCGTTGCTTACAACAGGAAAGACCTGCGCAGGTCAAAGGCTTGTTGATTGTGCTCGGGATGGTCATAGGCCATGGACCCACTTTTACCCTTGCCCCCCCAAATTGGTGGATTGGCAAGCCGCAAGCTGCGCTTGGGACCACTGCTGATCTAGCTCCTGCGTCAGGTTCCGTCGGGCTGGGGTGCGCGGCAACATTGTCATTTTCCCAAAGGTTATAAAGATCCAACCCCACATTCAAGTAATGCCGGGTCCCTGCACAGCCGCATCAAGTGTTGCAGCTAAGGCGTACTCTCAGATTCCTCGGGTTCAATTTAGCTTGACAATACTTGGAGTTGAATTTGATTTCAATTTTAAAGGCGCGGAACAGAAGCTGACCAGTTGCCCCATGGGTGAGGCGTTGCAATCCCGAAGCGGCATTCAGATTGCAAAGCAAATATGAACTTTGGCAACACGGTCTACGGGCACTGCGTGGCAGCCAACAGTGCGGCGAGCCTTGCTAAGGCAGTTCAGTTAAACATAAACTCGCCATCGTCAGGGGGAGGAAAACGAACAGGGCCCGATTCACAGAGCCATGTGGGTGTGGCTAAAATTTAAACACGGGGGGTTACGCAGGTTTGGTCCATATTTCCACTTACCAGGGTTCCATTTTGGTACCGGTTTTTTGAGCCAGAGCCATTTACATGGTGATTCAAGGTCCGACCTTTTAAGGGGGAAGGGGGTGCATTGACCGCACAGCGGGAATGTACAGCATGTCTTTCCCAATTCAAGTAAAGGCATGGTAAATTACCATATTTTCAGCTGTGTAGCACTATGCGCATGCTGCCCGGCCAAAGAACGAAAGGCACGTGGACGACCAAGGGTACTCCGTCCCTAAAAAACACAAGAACAAAAACAAAGGACAACACGTCGCACCCAAAAGTCCGATCTTGGTGCGGCGAACCTTAGGCTGCATCGGGGGTGGTGAGTTCCACTGAAACCGTCACTTTTGGACGGCAAGACTTTGACGGAGTTCCCCTCTTGGAACCCAAAACTTCACCCGGCACTGAACCGGGTTGGTATGAATCAGTCATCGGTGAATGAAATCGCCATAAACCGGAAAACAAATACCAAAAACAAAGAAAAAACAACAAGTCGGAGTTTATTCATGCCCTTGCATGTGCCGAAGGCGAGTCAGGGATGGAAAGAGTCAACATCAGATCGAAGCTGACCAAACCAACCATGCACAGAACTTGACGGCATGATCATGATGAGGCCATAGCTTTTGTGGCGGAGCTCCGACTTCTTTTCCCCTCTCAAGCCATGACTTTGAGACTAAAGCAGGCAGCCCAGGTCCCATCAAGCCCGGCAAGTGAGCTACAGTCAGCATGCCCGGCACTTCTAAGTCCTCAAAACTCAAAACGGAACTAGGTCCTCCAGTAGATAGGTTAGCATAAGGGAACCCTTTTTCCGTAGTCTATTTTGGTAGGGGAACCCTCCCCCAAAAAAGGGTAGAAGGGCACTACTGAGCGACCTAGGGAATCAAACCCATGGCCAGCTGATGGCTCTTCATCGACACTTTCCAACGGAGGGTGCCCCGGAAAGAACTTAACCTAAGTCGGGTTGCGATTTCAGGCTTCCCAGAATCCACCAGCAAACGCTCCAGGATCACAACTGGTGATGCTTAAAACACCACCAAGCATAATATATACAAATTTACGCAACCTGAGAAGGGGAGACAGGAAAGGTAGGATACCGTATAGTGATTCCCCTAAACAATGGAACGTCCCCGAGACAAAGTCTGGAGGTGTTGGTGCTAAAACTGAGGCATCCCAGCACTGTAATTGTGCATAGCCCGCTATGAAGCAGACGTGCACTGAGTGTCCCATATCAACTTCGGAATGCAAGACCAAACCGGTGCTAAAAGCGGACCGAAGTCTGAAGGGAAGTGAGTGAAGAGAGCGGCGAGAAGACCGGAAAAAGGAGCGAAGCTGCCAATCAGGCAGGGAGGCCAGAGAGCGGACCAGGGGAGAGTCGAAGGGGAGAGGGGGGGGGGGGGGTAAGATGGACACTTAAGTTTCCTTTTCCGAATAGACCATAGACCTCAACTGTCCATCACAGAGGGGGAGGGGGGGGGGCGATATTTCATTGGTTTTGCGGCCGGGCCGAGACCCCCGGTCTAGCCTTGCCAACACAAGGACAAACTCAAGCATGTTGGCGTGTCTTTGAATTTTTCCTCTCTTTGCTCTTTTGGCCACCCATTTCAAGTTGGTTCAAGGGCACTAGGTCCTCCAGAGAGGATAGCATAAGGGTACCCTTTTTTCTGTAGTCTGTTTTAGTAGCGGAACCCTCCCCAAAAAAAGGGGCAAGAAAGTTGGCACTACTGCCAACACGTCACCCACCACCTCTTGCCCGCCCTTCGGCCCCTCGACCGGCCTGGCGCAGCTGGCGTCTTCTCAGCAGCAGCCGCTGCGAGCGCTGGGCCTCCTGGGACCAAAGGGAGGCGTCCCAGTGCCGCAGCGGCCTGCGGATCCATGGTTTTGGACGTGACAAGCCGGGGCAATGGTATGGAGTAACGGTTAGTTACTTGGACATCAAAAAACCTATCCGCACCGCCGAAGTTGGATGGGTTCAAATTCCGCCCAGGTCCCACGGGACGGCTTGAACTTCAAACGTGCGGTGGGTGTTGGGTGGATGGAGTGGCAGTTGAGCTGGAGTTGGAGTGAGTTGGAATTGGGTTGTCACACCTATTGGATGTCGTGCATGGAAGATTTGGGTACTTGATTGTGCTTGGGGGTTTACTTGTCGTTGCAATTCCCCCGTGCGACGCAGCTCGGGAGGGAGTTCCTTTGACCAAAACGAGGACGGCCTGACATGCTTTTTGACCCAGTGAGAGACAGTCTCTTGCTGGATCCTCCCTTCGGCTACATTTCCTGAGCAAAGGTAGCCTTTTGGAAAAATAGATGGCCCTGGTAAATGGAATAAATCCCATCTCCAGGGATCTGAACCAGGGGCCCTCCATTTGAGCAAACCAACCAAAAAGGACACCTATGAATCCGGCCACACAGCTCCGAGTTCTCATCCCAGCAGCGAGTCAGGCGGCAGCTCTTTGGCCAGAAGCGTGGCTTGCTGCAGGGCGAAGTCCACCCGGTCCTGTGCCTCGGAATCCGCGCAAAAGAGGCGACTCGTTGGGCGCGCAGGTTTTTGTTTGAGGGGAAATAGATGGCCCTGGTAGGTGATTAAACCACCAGGTAAACCAGGAATCGCCGGCAATAGATATGTACCCAAATGCTTCATGCAAGGAAGAGGTCTGGGCCCCGCTACAGGTTTCACTTTTGGTGGGTGAAATGGAAATCCTCACTAAGCACGAAAAAGCTAAAACCCTAGGGGGATCCAAGTCGTGTAGAGCTGTCACTTCCCCGAAGTGGCCTTTCGGCGCCAAGAATGCCACGAGTTGGATTCATGTCAAGGAAGTACTGGGACGGGACGCAACAAAACAAGTTTGACTGTGTTTAAACAAATGGATTGATCCAGACAACCACAAGACCACGCCGGAGAATTGCCGCTTGATCAAACCTTATTTGCGATCTATATATACATATATACATGTTACATATATATATATATATCTACAAGACAAGGCACTGTGCAGAAGTGACTTTGCGCAGCCTAGGGGCGGGAGACCAATAGGCAACCTTGAAATCAAAAAAAATAACATCGCTTCTGACGCAGAGAGCATCTCCTGGCTTGTCCTAGCATACCGAAAAGCAACGCAGTGTGACAGTTTGGCCCACTCCAACTCTTGAAGTGGGTTCGTGTCTACCTCCAGACTAGGTGGTTGACTGGCGGTTTCGCTTTGAAACTCCAAAGTAGCAAGCCCCCCACTCCTCGGTTGCGAAATCTGCTCCCCTGCTAAAAGTGACTAACTTTTAGTGGTTTAGTGGAAAACCCGTTAGTTGGCAAAAAGTTAAAGTCCTAACAGCCAAGCAAAATCACCAAAGAGTACACTCTCCCCCTTTTGCAAAGCCGGAGGCCAAAGGAAGTGGTTCCCGATGGTTTCTCGGAAGCGCCAGGAACCCAACACGCTTTTCTCCTTTGAGAAAAGAACCATCCCACCAGGAAGTTGCAAGCCCCACGGGCACACATCAGCGTTAATCTTTTTTTTAAAACCAGCCTGCCCTTGCATCAAGCAAACCGGCAAAAACACGTGGACGACCACAGCTAGTCTGCACATGGAACCTAAAAAGCGATCCATGCAGAATCACTTTCCGAAGCGACCCGTAGGTCGACGGCCGCTTAAGCTTCCCACGTCCTCCCAGGAAATCTCTCGTGAGGGGCTTGGAGAGAAAGAATCAACTCCTGGTTGACTAGCAGCCGCTGTGCTATTTCAGGCAAATCCTCTTGGGAACCAAAGCTCAGGTCTTGTAATCCGGCAAGGAAAACACCAAAGTTGGGTACCCTCATTGGGCCATTTTGAGGGTTTCAGGGCTGCCCGCTGTCTGTTAGCCCGCCTACTGTTTTCCCCAAAGCCCTGAAGGCTTATGAAGGCTTGTGCAGGAATCCAGGAGGGTGGGGAGCTGAATCCTTTGCAGTTTGGGTTGTCAAAAGAGAAAGGGAAAACCCGACCCAAACGTCTGGTGGCTGGGCTTGCGGCAAATCTGCGAACCCCAAACAACCATAGTTAACTCCGTTAATTAAAATGAAAACCCCCCCCCCCCCTTCGAACCGGTGGAATCGCTCGCCACAACACGGGCGTAGTTGGGTCAGCTTTTGTGAGTTTGCCCTTATTTTGAGCCCTGTTTTTGCTCACGGGAACCAAAAAGACAACCATTTGCTGCGTGGACCGATTTTGACACGCATTCAAGAATTGGCAGAGCAAAAAGGCATGGTTGTGGTTGCGAAACATTTTACATTTTTGCTATTGTGGTTTAGTGGGAAATTCCCACCCCTTCCAACGTCAACCAAGAGGCACCCCCTCTGAAAAAGTTGAGAGCTGCTGGCCATCTAAGGCCAGCTTCGTTTGGGTCTCCGCCAGGCTGCAAAGATCAGGGCCGCTTCATTGGCCTCCGCAGTGGAGGCACGCAAAGCCTCCGAAAGCAGGCGCTGGCCTCAGTCAAGGCCAAGGGGGGTGGGGGTTGGGGTCTGGACATGGGGTGGGTGGAGGTTGGGGTGGGGCTTGGCATTTCAATCACTCCAAACCAAAGTAAAGAATCGAAAGGGCGGATATCCGCTGGTTGGACCTTGCCCGAAGCTTCATTCACCCGGGGTTTGATTGTTGTGTGCGTCCTTTTAGCCCTTCCAACATGCGAAAAGCCCTACTCAGGTGCCACGCTACGGGATGCCGGGTCTTGCCGGGTGGAATTTCTTGTTAAACCCCCGTTGGCGCAAGAACTCCCAATTGCAATCCGCACAAAGGATACGTGCAACCGTCATACAAAGGATACGTGAGTTCGCCTGATGACTAAATCCTCAACAAGTTAGAGCCTAAAGATCCAACCACGTCCATCACCCCCGCAACCACTGCCCTTTTTGGGCTTGGGATTTTGGGACATGGGGAAAAAAAAACGTTGTTTGGGGAGGTACTGGATAGAAGGCCCTTTCCCTCAGCTTTCGGTGCCAAGCCGCGCTGCTGGCGGCGCAGGTGGAGGCAAGTCCTGGATCGATCGAAAGGGCCGCGCATTGCGCGGCAGTTGCCCAGTGACCCTGGTAGAGCAAGGGGGCTTTCATTTTGGGGGTTGATTCGGGGTTGATTATTCTTACAGGGGGGAATTCATGAAACACAAGGGACAACATGTTGCCTCTGCAACTGGGCAACGGACGAAGACTAAGATAGATGGGACAATTGTGAGTGGGAAACTACATGGTGCTGCCCAACAAGGGTTCGACTGTGCCAATTTTACGTTGGCCCATCCCCCCTACCTTAAAAGGGAGGGGGGTAGGGACCGTCCGCCGATTCCATTTATCTAGTCTTCCCCATGAAAGGGAAAATGGACTATAAATTAATAAATGGAGATCTCCAGGGGTCGAAATCCCCCCTCCCCCAATTCCATTTTTTTAAAGGGGCGGGGATGTTGGCCCACGTTCCCACCTCCCAGTCAATCTACTTCCGACATCGGGGGATTCCCCCGTCCGCCAAGGGGGTTCTCGGAAACCAGAGCCGCAAAGGTGGTGGCAAGAAGCTCCGGCCACCAGCGAGAGCAAGCCGAATAGATCAGCAAACTCTCCGAAACCGTTAGGAAACCCATGAGAAAGCTCTGGGAATCCCATGGCAAACCCATGGGAAACCCGCGGGAAACCTATGGCAAACAAATGGACAAAGGGCAACTCGATTCCCAAGGTCCTAGAAAGGTCTCTAAGAGGGCATGGCTCTAACGCGAGAGGAGACGAAGCGAAAGCTGGCACGTTGCCTTTTCACCAGCCGCTAGCCGGTCTTCGTACAAATCCCCGCCTAAAACCAGGAACGTCGAAAAGGCAAGTAAAATGGCAAAGCATGCGTCCGGGGAATGTGTAATCGCAGCATGTGGCAAAACAGTCCAGCCCGGACAGGGCCAGAAGCGAGCCCCCTAGGCGGGATGGTTGCCCATTTGCTCTCACCGAGTAAATGGGTAAATGGGCACCTGGTAAAAAACACAAGCACCGGATTCCTGACAGAATGGTGGAAATTCACCCTGTGATACCAAAGTAGGACCGCAGCTACTTGGTTTTGTCTTTTAGGGAAACCTCAAGAATGGACGGTCCCATTTGGCTTGCCTTCAAAGCCGCTCAACAAAAAAAACCAAACCACCGATTCCACTCCGCGGTTTCCCTTCGCCAGAAATTGGCGACATGAAGCTAAGCTTCCCCAGCCACAGGACTTCCCAGCACATGTGGTCAGCCGGTTTCCGGATTTCGCACATCACAAATTGCGCAAAGGGGTCCTACCTTAAAATCTACTTTGCCGGCAACGGGGGTCAGAGTCATATCGGACCCCGCCCAAAGAGTGTTTCCACTTGAATGCGGTCGAAATGACTGCTGGTACGGATATCGTGGTGTTTTTTTGGAAACCACCCATTGTGGGTTTCCGTTTGGGCTCCCTGTAAAACCACACAGAAACGGCACAACCGTACCAATGCAGGCCAAGCATTCCCTCGCAAGGAACCTATAGAAATCTTTGTACTCTCTTAGGTCTAGATATGATAACTGCAAGACGTTCTATCCTTCATAAACCCTGCATTTGAGACCTGAATTGGCTTCTTCTCCTTCATATTTGGCTGTGGCTCAAAAAACCGGTACCAAAATGGAACCCTGGTACGTGGAAACATGGACCAAAACCTGTGTAACCCCTCCTGTTTAATTTTGAGCCACACCCATTTAACATCACCGTCTGGTACTTTTTGGGAACCAACTCGCTTTCGCCGCTTCCTGAAGAGCTGCGCTTCGCGCAGAGCTCGCGAAGCCGCGTCCTGCCGCTGGCTTTCTCTCGAGCCCAAGCGTGGGTTTGGGGAAGAGGTCTCACTGGATCGGTCAGGAAAAGTAAGCAAACTTTGAGTGAATTTGCCACTAAAATGGTCGGCCCCAAAAAGTTCGAAAGTCCAGGAACTCAGAAAGTGAGAAGTAGAGAGTCAAGCAACAGGTCGTGGGGTTGGAAAAACAAGGTCCACGTGCTGGTTGCTGGAAGGTCATCGGAATCACCCGTCGAACTACAAAAGAAGCCTAGTTCGAAAGAATAGTGTTGCTTCTCTTGCCAAGCTTCGCACGCGCAATAAGCAACCATTCCTGGTCATAACCCTGCGATGTTCATGCATACATCGTGGGATTGGGCGGAAAGTTGGGCGGAAAGTTGGGCGCTCTTGACGGCCTGCAAGCGCCAAACCCTTCTTCTCGAGCCAGGGCGCTGGGAACCAATTGGGCTCTCTCATACCTCATTCGATCCAATAATTGGGAAGTTTAGTATATGTTTCTGGCCATGTCGCTCCCCAAATGCCCATGGTTCCAGAAAAAGGCCTGCCTGCCCTGCGGCACTTATCACTTGAAGCCAAGCGGCCCCTGTCATGCTTCGGCTGTAAGGCTCTCAGGGCACGCCATCAGCAACAAGGTACATGTTGTGTGTGCCAGTTGCCGGGTTGGGTTGGCCTACTTGCTCTGACCTTGCATGCTACGCTAGTGTGTGTGTGTGTGGTTTGTGCTTCGGCGTCTCTGCATGTTGTCACGCATGCGGGAGCTTGAGCCGGCCACATACGTGGCCGAGGCATGCCTTCAAAAATCAGGGTGCGATGTCAGTCCCTTCTGGCATCGGCGGCATCGGGCACAAAAAGGGAAGTGATACACCTTGGACCTTGGTTGTTGACCCCTCTGCAAAAAGTGTTTCTTTTTTTGGGGCCCCAAGGAAACATCCAAGCTATGTCCTGATCGGACCACCTAGCCACAAGCACAGGGACCTGGAGACTATCTTCGCATGCGGGTCGCCAGCCAATGGACAAAAGCTGAGGGACAAGGTCAACTGCGGGGCATACTTGCTTGCCGAAGATTGACGACAGGCAGCTGGTTTATGCCGGTTTGGCGGTTTTATGATGGAGGATGGGTGAACAGCATGGGTAGATCAATCCCACGGCAGTGGACAATGATACCATGGTTCATGGTTAAACAAAAAAGACACGGCAAGCCATTGAGAGTGTTCGTTTGGCAAAAAGCCTTATGATAAGTGTTTACAAAGGTCTGGCCATGGACATTTGGCCTAAAATCATCAAGCGCCGCGGCGCCGCCTTGCCAGATCATGTGTTCCGGCAATCGGGGGACTAGGCTTCCCCAGCCTGACTGACCCTGTTTGAACCAGTGCGGATGAATTGCCACGTTTCCCTTGAACAGTGCGAATGGTTGCATAAAGGATTGGCCCATGTGCCAATCCTTCTCAAGCATTCAACCGTTTCCCCAGGGTGCGAATTTTAAGTGGGGACCCATAATGGTGGACATGATTTGCTGGTTGGATGTTTGTCCACTCGTTTGGGAAGATACCCTCCCTCCCACTCAATGATGAAGCACACCTGACAAGGGGTCTGCAAGAGGAAACTGATCTCCCAGGTACCCTCCCACAGCTGCCATGGCGACGTGGGAGGAAGGCTATTCCCAGTTGACGCCAACTCGGACTCGGTTGGAGCTTGGGCCACCCCGCGCTCTTGGCCTTCCCCGCGCTCAGGAGCAGTTCCTCGGTCCAGGGGACGAGCAGATGCGCCAGGGACTGCCAGCCCCGGTGTTGAAAGGATGTCCGCCAGCATATTTTTCGCTTAATTTTTCCACCCAAGGGTTGAGTGCTACTCAACCATTTGTTTTTTTTTGGGGGGAGAAACCCACGCACACCTTAAGGAGCTCTCATGGATATAAAAAATCCCCATCTCACTCAGGCAAAGGACGAAAACACGCCCAAATCGAAACCCCTGCTTGCAACACGTAGACGGGTCACATGGAAGGGCCAGCTTCAACAATGGGTGACAACGTATTGTTCGGCAAGTCATGGAAAGTCAAGTGGATAAGTCAAGCGAATTGCACCATCTACTTTCACCCTAAAGTCTGTGGCAAAGGGCGCACAGGTCTGAGCAGTTCATCCTCTGCAGCGCTCGTGCGGATGTTGTGTGTGCTGACTTGTGCTGATGGAACCTCTGTGCCAATGGCCAAAGCCACGTTTGAGTTGCCTTTTCAAGGATGCCAATCCCCCCAGTTGGCAGAACCTCTTCCACCAGAAAGTCATTCCAAAGGCCAAACAACCAAATGTTTATTTTGTTTGTCTGTCTCTCTGACTGGTTGGAGTCGAGCCTAGCCGCGCGTGTAAAGCCAAGCATGACATACCTTGTGAGCTGGCTTCACTAGACTAGTGGGTGTGCCAAAAAGACAAATGGTTAATTCACCGTCACCCTGCTAAACAGATCCACCAGAGCTTTTTGTAGAAGCATGGGAGCCAGCCACGGAGTGTGCACGAAATGTTCCTCACGATTCGAGGGCGCCCCCCAGAGGCCTCGTCACAGAACAGCTTTGCGAAAGGACTGCACAACCTGTGCCAACACCCGTCCCTTGCCAGACTTGCAATCTCCACAAAGGCCGGGTATCTGTTCAGCTGAGACCTACAAAGTGTTCATGTTCCACCCTGAGGGGCAACCGGTGTGCCCGGTGGCAAACCCAGCTCTGCCACGAGTTGTTCTCAGGACTCAACCTGTGTGCACGCGTCTGTTTAGTGCAGAGGGCAGCCTGGTACTGTTCTGCTTGCTGGTGCTCCGCAGGGAATGCGGGAATAAACCTGGGGGTCCCCTTAATGGAAACCAAAAGGTATGTTTTGGGCAGCGTGAGCCTACCAGTTCCGGCCAAGTTGCGGAGCAAGCAATGCACACCTCCGCCTCCGACCTCTCTCAAAAACAGATCGGAACATCGTGGGGTGCTGAAATACCGTGGATGGACAAAATCCATTTCGCACCACTTGGAAACCATGGGAAACCATTGTTCGTTGGTATTGATAGGGGAATCATCCCTTTAGGGCCTCTTGGTTGGTGCAGGATTTCGTCCATGCACAGTATGGGAAGGGCCTATGGTCCACAACTCTGCACAACGACCTGCCTCCCCGCACAAAACTCGAAAGGTCACTTGAATAAGGGTGAGGGTACCAATGTGCGTGTGAGCCTTTTTGGGGGTTAGCTGGTTCATCTTAAGTTCATCTTTGAAAGGGAAAGCAAACGGAAAAACGTAATCTTTTTGTGGGGTGCCCCCCCGATTTTGACACACACACACACAATCACACCCATGCATTGCAGGCGCGAATTGAAAGCGGCAATGAAGCTGGCGTGAGACGTTTGATCAGGCTCGACGCCATATGCTCGCTGCCATTTTCCGCTTGCACAGCGGCCATGCGAGAAGGGAACCCTTTCGAAGTTGACCATTTTTAGTTGGGAACCCACGAACCAAAAATGGGAAACAGGTTGCTACTGAACAACTGCAGTTCTTAAGGCAACCAAGTGCATGTAAGCAATCAGCAGATCATTTTATTCGGCTGATGTGCGCATCATCCGATTCTGTCCTAAGCTCACTCTCCGAAAAACTCCCGACAGTCCTCCGGGGCAAAACGCCTTAAGGAGGCCAGGTTCCGCTTGGATACCCAAAGCGGTGTACCTTTTGGCTTCCCTTTCAGAGGTGAAAAAGGGCACCATCAAACAAACACCTATAAATACGTGTCTATAATATGCATGATACATATATATATATATATATAAATACACATGCACATATATACATATGTCTATATATATATATGTGTGTGTGTGTATGTATTCATATTAGCCATCACCCCATTCCCTTCACACAACTTTCACCACCAGCCTTCTGGCATCCTCCTCCCTCAAGATCTCCACAGCGGCCTGTCGGAAACCAGATCCGATTTTGACACGGCGGAGAGATGTTCGGCCAAGCAAGTCTTTCACCACAGGGGTTTGGGGATATGGGATAAACCAATGGGTCCCCCTCAGTTCAAGGCAGCATAGTTTACAGGCTCAGATCCTGAGTGCTTTGGCCCACAAAAGTCTGAATCTCCTGGGCTGCCCGATTTCTGATCGCCCGCTAAAAGTTGAGAACTTTTAGTGGGTTAAATTCGGAAACTACCACTAAACACTAAAAAGCTAAAAGGCTAAGGAACCGGATGGCTGGGAGCCACCAAGTACCAATACCGGGAATGACTCCACTTAGGGGAATAAGTGGGTTATAACCCAAGGTTGCCGCCAACTCAATTTGGGGGTTGGACGGGAGATGGGGAGACGGGGCGGACCTCGAGGGGACCCCGACCCCTGGGTTCAATCACAAGGTTCCGAGATCGGATGCACGTTGCCCTGTGCAAGATGGAACCCTTTTGCTAGAACCCGTCTTGGGCCTCTCAAACACCCCAACGCAATTATGTGGCCATCTTAAGGGAAGCCAACCAAACCATTGTCCCACTTCCTGGGTGGATGGAATTAAAGTTCGAACTTCATATGTACCACTAAAATGGTCTACCCACAAGTACAAAAGTCCATGTGCTGCGGCTTCCCCTCGGAAACCAAGAAGCCTCAGGACGCCAGTTGAACCTGCTCAAAGACCAGCCAACCTGAGGTGTACAAACTTGGCACCTGCTTCGGAGCCTTCACATCAAGGACTCGTTTTTTTCGATTTGATCCTCACTTCGAAGCTGTCTTGGGGTCCAAGACCCTACATGCTGAGCTTCAACAGGAGTCTACTGATATATTCCAGGCAATCCATGTGGGTAATACATGAATATATATATATATATACATATATGTATACATACATAATATGTGTCTGTGGGTGTTTACTCTACAATTGACCAAGTTGCAGGGCAAAAGGGGGTAAATATTGCATACGTGGATTGCTTGGGTATTGTGTCATCCTGCTGTTTGAGCAGTTTTTATCACCGCCCGCTGAGGGAAAGATAAAGCTCTGACATGGTGGGCGCTGTGTTGACTTGAGTGCGGCTTACGTCAGGAGGGCAATCCTTCGCTGCGTCCACTCCTCATGCAAGACTGATAGAAATCAATCAAACTCAACATCGTACATGCCGACCCTTCATACACAGAAGCCCGAAATCAACCCATCTCAAGCATGTGCTCATCTTCAAAGACAGGCGAGCAAATTCCAGGGATGTAAACATCAAACCTCCCTGCTCCGATGAACAGTTGCCAAAAAATATGAAGGATGATCCCAATCACTATAAAATCTGGCGTGGGCGTGCATTGTTTGCGGAAGAAAACCATTATTGTGTTTACTTGCGCCCTCTCCTTGCAGCAAATCTGTTCTGGAGTCGTCCGCAACTTGGCCAATGCTCACTGAAGTGTCCTCTTCGCGAGTAGAAGCTAAGCGCCCAAAACCCATCCAAATCTGGTTCTATTGGTTCAGTCAAAAATGGTTATATATATATATATACAAATAGAATTGTAGGTTCATATCGGCCTTATAACTGCCGTGCGGGCCAGGACGACATGGCCAATGGAACCGGTCCCCGCGAACCCCCTCAGGGCTCCTTCCCCTTGA